AGATCTTCATTCATAGGGAATCGTGATGTTTACAGTACAGGAAGACCAATTTGTATGTTGTACAAAGCTCTCAAATCCACCTGAGTGCTACGTATCTTTTATTAGGTTTTTGATGTTTCTGAGTGCAATGTAATTTTTTCTCTTACTTCCAGATGCCTTACCTATCACCCACTAGAGACTACCTATTTATTAGTTTGTTGTGAACACAGTCTGAATAGTGACATCAATACACTTTTGTAACACAGAGATGACATTTCTGAACTAGATCTGTTAACAGCCAAGGCAAACTTCTCTCAGTCTTAGTGCTGACTCTAAGCACCACCAGCAGATGTCTAGAGACCGTAGCAGAAAATCACTGAGTAAATCACACTCAAATTGTTCCTGTGGTATTTACAATTTAGTCCAATAAAGGAAACTTGAAATGTTTAGTTCTTTGTTTCCAAAATGGAAAGTAACCTTCTCATGTTTTCTAAAGAGATTTCAAGGTGTTTCTCTTTGTGCTTTTCTGTTTTTAGTAAAAGGCCCCAGACTGCTAGGGGTTGGCAAAGACAGTAGCCCATGGCAGGTAAGGCTGTCCTGGCTCCACATCCCCAGGTCCAGCCCACAGAGAGGTTGGGCTGTGTTCCCAAAAGACACACAGGCAAACAAACATATATACATGCTGGTCCACACAGATGAACGTGGACAGAAATACTCAGCATTCACATGACCACAAATGACACTGATGGCCTCATTCTGTTCCCCTCCAGGCAAGCAGGATGAAGGTATGCTAGTGGGAAAAACATACATATAAACAAGACTGATACCTTCACTAACTGGCCTTGGATGTTTTTTATCCCATGACTGGTGCTGAATGACCCAGACCTTCCACTTACCTTACACACATGCATACTGCAGATCCCCAGCAACTGGCCTTAGACACTACCAGTACCTGTCCCTAGATCCTCTCATGTCCAGTTGCCTCAAACATGCCTCCTGGCTGACCTGTGGACTTACAGCTGTTTGAAACATGGCTCCCAGGCCACTTATCCTACTTGCTGCCTAGTCCAACTTGACATTCATGAGCCATTACACACTGTTCTATGTCCTGACATATGCATGCACTCTGGTCTCTCCAGCTGCTGGCACCCTAGGCTCAGGGACCCCTCTGTCGTGAGGTCCCCACTTCAGTTGCTGGCACTTAGACCTCTATACACAGTCGTGTGCACAGCAGTTTCCCGTCACCCAGGGAAATAACTTAGCGATAGAGTTAATGAGATTATAGGACAGACTGTGGTGATCAGGCATGGTCAGACAAACACCATGGTCTGACAAGCCACCTATTTCCATGTGAGCGGCCCCTTTTAGCCCCTGCTCTATTGTACCAAGCATGTTGCTCCCCAAACCACCTTGGTCACAACCTCCTTGAGTGCATCTCCACCTGCTCGGACATGGGCTCCTGCCTGGGCTGCAGATGGGTCTGTGCTCCCCCGTGACCCTCCATGGTTGCAGGGGCACAGCCAGCCTTGCTATGGGCTGCACCACGGGCTGCACAGGAATCTCTGCTCTGGTGCCTGGAGCACCTCCTCCTCCTCCTTCTCCACTGACCTTGGTGTCTGCAGGGCTGTCCCTCTCATATTTTTTTCACTGCTTTCTCACAGCTGCTGCACAGCGTTTTTCATCCTTTCTTAAATACGTTATCACGGAGGTGCCACCAGCATCACTGAGAGGCTTAGCTTTGGCCAGTGGCAGGGATGTTTTGGAGCTGGTTGTGTCCGGCATAGGGCAGCTCCTGATCTCTTCTCACAGAAGCCATCACTGCAGCCCCCTGCTACCAAAACCTTACACATAAAGCCATAACAATCCCCTGCTGTAGACTCCTCCTGATGTGTTGAGGTGGAGGGTGGAGCCCTGGAGCAGGGGGCTCCTCCCTCTGATGAGCTTACAGGGATCCCCCTACTGATCTGTCCCTGGGGTCCCCTGTGCTCCTGGGGATGAGCTCTCCATCACACAGCTTCACCCCAACTTTAACTATATAACCCTACTAACCAAACAGAGAAAATGAAATAGCTGTCAGTTATGAGAACAGCTGAGAGCTATGTAATAACTTCTGGCAACTTCAAGCAGTGCTTTGAAAATTCTCGTTTGTGCTAATGAACTGTGACCAGCAATTTTTGGTTTTTAAACATTAAACACTCTGTTAAAACAAACTGATCTGTCAGGTAAACATTATTTATGTCTGCAGACAAAACAAAAGTCATATATTAACTGAATGACTATTTTCCATTTTTCATTTCTACTATACCAAAGCTTTCTATGATAATCCTGAAAAATATTCACAGAAATAATCCTAGTATTTTAACAAACTCTTGCTGAATCTTTTGAAGAAAAAGAAATTAACAGCAAAATTTCAAATATTTACGGCTCAATTATATACTATATCCAGTTTCTGGGCTGTAAATGCTGGATGAAGAGTGCAGCAGACAGATGACTCAAACACCTGCTGTAAAACAAACGTGCAGTTTCTCAAAATCACTGAGAAAGTTTTGTTGTCTTAAGTTTCTGCCAGTAGACTTCATGCTGGATTATACAAAGTTTGTCCAGGTCAGTTTTCCTTCATGACCCTGCCACCTCCAGCTTCTTGTTTCTTCACTTCTGAGATGGCTATACCAAGATGTCCCCAACTCCCTTTCACAGCAAACTCAGTGCCTGTGCTTTCACCATGTGTGCTAAACCACAATGCTCTGCCTTTCGACAGTCACCACCAGCCATGCGCCTGGTAACAGGGAGTTTGTCCCTTTGCCTCAGTACTTGGTAACAGCCCTGCCAGCTGAACATCCCAGAATATCTCTCTCAGTATATTCTGTTATGCAAAAGGTGTACTGCATCACACCACTCTATTTTGAGGAAATTTCACACAGTGAATCGTAAAACACATGTCAGTTTATATCCACCTACAATAATACAAATATCAGCCTGTAAAGAAAAATTGAATGATACGTTACACAAATACGTGACATCTAGAGTTGGAACTACAAGTTAGTGTAGCTACACACTGCCAAATATTTAAAATGTTGAATAAAAGAGAAATATTAATTATAGTACAGTACTATGGATACCTAATAATTGTAAAACTCTCAAAATACAAACAGATTAAAATTAATTTATTTTTAGCTACTGCATTTCATCAGTAAATCAAAGCATTTGTTTTAATATTAATTTATTTAATCTCTGTCATACCCAGGACTTTCTGTATCAAAAGGAAGAGGCTTAACTGGAAATCACTTGTGCCCTTTCTACTATCAACTTTGCAAAGAAGCACACTGCAAGTCTGATATTTCTGCACTCTTACTACTTTGTTTAGATAGAAAGGCTAAATTTTTGTGCAACTTGTCTTACAGAGGAGTTCTGAACAAAGCCCTTAGAAAGACAGCAGAAAAGTAAACAGTAAAAAAACCTCTGCAAATTACTCATAGCAACAGTGAAAATTCTAACAGTGCAGGTTTTCAGAAGCAGACTCTAGCAAATAATAGCATCTTCACTATGTTTACAGGGAAAAAATGTACTGCAAATCTTGGACTCAAACCAGAAAAAAAAATTATTCTTTTGATTATTTGTTTGCAAGGTGTGCAAAATAAAATAATTGTCCTGTGAGACTTAGATGCTGAAGTTCCCATGCAGCTATAATTTTGAAATTACCTTTTTTTAACACAAAGCAATTATCTGAGATCTCATCATAATGGTGCCATATGAATTAACTAATGGACTGCCAAGAAGTCAGTAATTATGACTCCATTACTTTCCATATGTGCAAACAATGTCATGTGTCCTTGTTGTTTCAATGAGGCTGTATTTACTTAAGAGATCTTTTCTTGACAGAAATAACCTGAATCTCAGAAAAAAACCAAAATCACAGAAAATTTAAATAAAAACTGAAAATTATATAAAAATTAAGTCTAGTAACATTTTTCCTACAATTAAAGACTCAGGAATGGGGGAAAGTTCGGGGATGTTAACAAAAAAGCAATCAAAAAGACTGAGTGATCAAATGAAAACATAAATTAAAACCAGAAATCTAGAATACGTGGTGCAGAAGAGAAAAATATTTAGCAAAAATTGAGATAAATGAGAAGTTATAAAAAACTATTAGGTGAATCGAAAACAAAGGAAAAATTTATGTTGGGAGGCCATATAGCTCGTAAAGGACAAAACAAACCTTATGAATATCACAGGCCCATCAGTAGATATAAACACAGAGATGAAAAGAATATTAACAATAATACAGTTCAGTATATATTTCCATTCTGTTTCCTAACATAAGGAAGAGGATATTTATTTACTGTCGACTGAAGAAGAGATTTAGCAATGTCTACTCAGTACGAGCTTCATGAAATACAAGACCAGAACAGCTTGTACCTGCAGTGTCTGCACATGGGTAAGATGTTAATCTTTAATCGATCTTAGAGCACTGACAGAAATACAGAAGAATGGAAGTAGCTAACATTAGGGATTGCTGTACATGTTGACTGTGGCCATAGTAAACTTACTCATTATCAAGATATTAATGTTCATTGTTATTACCCAAAATGAAAAATAAAATCTACCTGACTAACACAAGAATAAACATATATTGTGCCATAGATCGGTATGGCATCCGTTAGGTATGGCTTTACGAACAGATTATTTTAAGACAGGAAAACACATCAAGAACAGCGGAACAGTAACTATTTTCAAAGAACCGTGACAGAGGAGTCTTGAGGAAGCAAGCTAAAACTATCCAAGACTAATGTTACGAGGAAGGAACAAAGATACTAAAATTAAAATTAAAAACTGTTACACAAGCCTGGTGTTATAGAGTAATTTGCATGTTTTCTATTACTACTTGAACACGTTACAAATTCTGTGTCTGCAACACACACGTACCTATGTGCACACACATAAGGTATTTATAACCTATCTGACACTGTTACATTTCTTGGCTCAGTTATTCACACCCAAGCAAAACTTGAAATCATACTTACCCCAGTATACGGTTCATTCCATGCCTAGCAGCATAATGCAGTGGAGTATTGTGCTGGTACGTTTCTCCATAAGAAGTATTTGGGTCTAGAGTTTCTTTTAGTTGAGGGTTGCTCTCATAGATTTGGCAGGCCAAGTTTTCATCTCCATTTATAAGAGCTTTGCGGAATTTGGTGGTTGTATTTCCCATGTTGCTATCCTAGCTATCAGTGGCACTTTTTCCTTTCCCCTTCATCCACTTGTTGGACGGTTCTGTAACATGCTTCACAGCCTAAAAATACAAACAGTATTTCAGTTATTCTGTAAAGCACTCTTTTCTAGAAGAATTCACCTGGAGCTACAGCTAAGTAAGCAGGCATGTACATAGGGCTTGTAGTCTGCTCATGAATTGCTGAAGTCCTTCTAGATAATTACACACAAAATCCCAATTTTTCACAGAATATTTCCCTGATAAATTGTGCCATCTCCCTGTGCAAATAGTCACTACCCATATTCTCTGAACATAGAGAAGTGAAAAAAATGGCCAATATAGACCTGTCTTAAAAGACAGAGATGAATTTCCATGAATAAGAAGTGAATTAGAATTACAAGCAATTTCAAAACACAGCAGAACCAAGGCAAAATCTTAAACAAGGAGGTACAATTCTTCAAAAGCACGCAAAAAAGCAGACATCAGCTTAACTTTCACCTAAAGAAGACCATGTAAAGCTGTGATTGTAGCACCTGTGCTTGTGTAGGTGGGTGTAAGAAGCACCCTTCCGAGTAGCAAGAGAAGTGCACATGAACACAGGAGTTACCATGGCTCCATCTTAACACTTCCGCTAAACAGACTCTTTAAAACACCTAACCCCATTTTTAGATTGACACTTTAAAGATCAACCATGAATGGGTCCACACAATGCCAGGCATTATACTGGCACAAACCAACTTCACAAGTACTTGCCAACTGCTGTACTCCAGAGACTCTCACCTTTATCTGATGGAGGGGACAGGGCAGACAGAGCATCTCCACTCCTGAGATGGGACAGGAGAAGCTTATCAGGTCATGCAGTCAGAAAAGAGCACACGCTGGTTTATGTCAGAGGGACAGACAGGGGACTCAGCACCAGGCTGCAGCTAGTAGCACAGTGAACCTTCTAGGAGGTCTCTTTTGTGCATGGGTCATCCCATCCAGACTGCTCCATGCCAGCCCTTTCACCCCACAAAGCACACGCTGGCATCCAAATATGCCAGGCACAGCAGGTTAGGAAGTTGAGATTGCTTATGTTGGGCACATATAATCAGGCAGGGCAGGAGCTGCTTCATGCCCAGTACCTTACATTCAACTTCTTGGGACTCTCTCAAAACTTCTATTTCTACACTGGCTTTCCAGCACACTTACTGGTGCCTGACAGCCTTGTAGACAAAAGAAACAGAGGAATTCACGGGGTCTAGAGCTACAGAAAATCCAAGGGAATCAGGATGCAGACGCAATTCATGTGAACAGGATCTGGGGAAACCCAGGAAAGAGCTGCAATGAGATGTTTTTGTTTCCCCAAAGTAGTCCTCTCATGAGCTGTTTTCAGCTACTGTTGTGAGCTTAGGTGTCACATTGCATCCCAGTCTTGCTATAGCTTTGCTTAGATCCCATTCTGCAGGAGTTCCTACCAGCGGGAGTCTTACACTTTTCCTCTCTATGGTTCCTCTGAGAAGTCATTTCGTGAAGGGGAGGGAAAAGACCACTTTCATCATAACCTCACTGGTGCTGCCAGGGCCATTCGAGGAGAGGGGTGGCCTTGGTAGCCTCCATTTTTATCCTCTTTTCCTATAAAACCTTAATGACACAACCTTTATTTTGGAGTTGTGCACTACCATTCGATGTCACTGTGTGGCATAACAATGACAGTGCTGAATCAGCTGACTCAACATGCTAAACACGTTGCCCACGCTGTGACCAGAGCTACCTAACAAGCAACTGCATTAAACAGCCACAGGTTTCTCATATTTATAATAAAGTAGGCACTCATCTAAAAGCAAATGCACGAGCTTCATATGCCTATATACATACATAAACCAAAGCCCAGATTCTTCAATCACACTAAGGATCCTGCAGCATTTTCTATCTGTCATCTCTATATTTTAAAATACAAACATGCAGATACTAAGCAGATATTTACATTCTTCAAGAAAGCCACTGCATGTTCACATTCCCACGTCACAGCTCTCAGTGCTGTAGATTAATGTGTTTTCAGATACAGAAACAGCTGCATTACGCTAAATACTGGATAGTTTCAGGCTTTAATGAAAGACTGTATAAACCAAAGAAAAACCCTACACTCTCTTCAATCAACCAGGTTTATACTACCTTCAACAACTAGGATCTCAAAAATAACTTGAAAGAAGGACTTTTAGTAAAATTTGTCAGTTTATGGTATTATCTGTCAATTCCTATCCACCACCAATAGCTCTCAAGACTATAAACTAAATTAGACAAGTGCCTAAAAGATATTATGTTCCTAGAATCTTCACGAAAATCAATAACGAAGATCCCACTAGTGCCCATAACAAGAAGAAAAGCACAGAAACGTCTCCCATAATTTGAAATTAGAAGGTAACAGCACTAATTGCCTCACATTTATTTCCAGAAATTAGCACATGCATAGCTTGCATCAGCTGCAGAACCTGCTGCTTCTTGCCCCAAACTGGAGTAACAAACGTGGGTAGGGATGAGAGAGGGTGTTGAGAGCTTGAGGAGATAAGATGGTGCCCTCAGGCAGTCTGAGAGAAAGATGGGGCAGGGTGGTACTGTTGAGATGTTGAAGAGATCTGACTGGATTCAGGCAGGGGTCTGGAAAATGCATGGGAGAACTGAGGGTTTGTGCAGGGTGGCTCTACAGAACTAAAAAGCTCAAGTTATTGCAGTACAGAAAAGGCAAAAATTGTAAATTACATTAATTTTATTGCACACTGAACAAACTTTATTTTTGATGGAGTATGGATATATTAGATGGTAGCACAATTTTCAACAACTAATAATATAAAAGACAGGCACATTGTTTGAACTATTAAGTACATTATCATAACATCTGGGAATTTTAGGAATATGCAATGTGTACTGCATAAGTCACTGAACAAAACAGTGACATCTGCGTCCATAAAAAAAGCTTACAGCCTATGTGCACAATAAAGGGTTATATACGATACAGACATGATAAAAACGTGAATTAAATAAAGAGTTAAATACTTGCCTGCATACCAGGCCACTCTCCAAATGAAAAGATTCTCAGGCAGAGGAAAGGGAGAATTTGAAGGATTATGAAACAGAGCAATGATATGGCTTTGAACACACAAGTGAAACTCGCCCCAAAACGAAGAATCAGCATAGAGGTACTGAAAATTTAGCGAATGGCTAATGTAACTATAATCATCACATTATCAAAATAAAATGAAAGGTGATAGAATGGGGATAGTCCATGAAAGCCCTTCAGGTGAAGGCAAACAGCTGATATTTGAAGTGATAGCAAGAAACCAACCTCTGGAATAATGCAAGCAGAGAAGTGACAGGGTCAAAACTAACCGAGAAAACAATTCCCTACTGAAAATACATGATATGAGAAACTGTACTAATGCCTTACACTTTTATAAAGTATACACAAGGTCTTTCATCTTTAACACTCAGACTGGCATTAGCCTTTTATGCTTTGGAAATTTTGTGGCCCATGCTGTAGTTTTCTATTCTGAATTAGCTATTAAACATGTCTGCAGAAATAGAGAAAGACAGGGGAGAAGCTGTCTTCATGCCCTGGCAATAACAGTCGGCACCCAGTGTGTTTGGAAGGCCAGAAGAAACAAAGATGCGACAGCTGCTGCTCTCTGAAGCTGCCATGGCTCATGAGTGCCCTGCCGTAAAATATTCAAGATCTGCCCATTTGCAGTCTTCAGTTCAACTTTCAGCTAACAGACCAACTACATCCACCGCCAAAGAAGCCTTTCTTTCAACTGAAAGAGAAAAAGGACAAAGCATGAGCTGATGCAACAAAGTTCTGGATCTGGAAATAGCTGAAAGGGGCCAAGCCTGCCTTCTTTTTGGGTTGTTTTTTCCATTAGAGCTTCCAACCTGTTATGTGATCTCACAGGACAGTAAGCTAACAGGGCCAGTGCTGGAACCAGGCATGGATTCACAGAAAGGAAACTTGGTTCACTCCTTCAACCCCTCATTCCATACTTCCGAAGGTGAAGGGCATGTAATACATATAATTCCTCCAGAAAGGGGCAAAGCAGGTGGCAGAGAGGGTGACCTGGAAGGTACAGTCAGTCCACAACCTCAGGCACGCGGAGAGCTCCGGTGGGCTGAATGTAAGGTTGCGAAAGTGGTTTCAGCAGCCCTCAGGCTTGCCTGGCTAGTGTGCAGCATCAATGTCACTGGTCTTTCTTTGCTGTTTGTGTAAGCCCAGCATTTAAAATCCTTAGGTTATGTTTTGATGTGTCACATTACAAAAACATGACAGTGGAACAAAAATAACAACATAAAAATGACAATTTTAAAGTATTTTATCTTAATAAAATGAGACTTGAATAGAATTTTACAGAAGAAAGACAAGGTATATGTTTGGTAGGCAGACCTATTCACTAAACTTTCAAGTTCTGAGGTTAACAGAAGGGCTATATCATAGCCTTTACCACAACCTCATAACATTTATCATAACCACAAATATAATAACCTTTTACATCAAAGAAATGGAAAAAGGAGAAATTAAATGCAGTGTTTGCTAATTATATCCCATATATTTCAGAATTTCAAATATCAACCATCTCGTTCAAAATTAGAAACTGTATTTACTACTCTACTATTCACAAATAAAAGTTCCAGCTTAAACAAAAAAACCCAAAATACTGGATACAACCTTCCTTAAAGTCTAAGGAAATATTCTTATAAACCTAGCCAAGGGAATCACACTTCTGTGCTTTGGCAACGAACAGTAAAATTTCTATGGGCTTATTAGCAACACTGCTGAAAGCAGCACTTTGATATCATAGTTCTATAAACATTTAACAGAGAGATGGCCACCCTCATAGGAGCTTGAAGACTGAGTACAAGATGAAAAAAGGGTGGATACAGAAAGACATGGGTAGAGCAAGGTACCAATGAGATTTTGAAAGCAGTTGCATCAGCTGCAAAATTAATATTGATTTTTCCATAGGCATCATCACAGAAGTGTTTGAAGAAGGAGAACAATTGCAATGGTTTAATAGGATTTTAGGAGTTCCTCTTTGAAATACTGCCACGGTGCTT